CCAATGGGCCCGCAAGGTCAGACGGGAACCTGACTGCCTCCCCTAGCGACAAGGGGTCATCCAGGGGGCTTCCCTGGAGCTCTCGGGGAGCTATCCCGAGCCCCTGTCCCCAGAGTTGCAGGGGACCCTCGGCCCAGGGAAACGAGCCCCCTGCCCAGGGTGACGGGCTCCCCTCCGGCCAGGACTACGGCCGGAATCTGCCCAAGGAAGCGGGCCCCGCCGTAGTCCGGGTCAAGACTGGACCCCGACAAGGGTGATGGGCTCCCTAGCGACCAGGGATAGGCCGCCCTCTGCCCAGGGCGTCGGGCCCCTCCCCCACCAGGGTAAGGGTGGGGTTTGCAATACAAACAGTGAACCGTCCGAACCAGCAAACAGTGCAAGTGAAAGCAGTGTAAACAGTGTAGATAGTGAAACAAACGATCAGATTTACAACTTCGGCAGCCTTACAATTGTTCTAAATACGATTTTGTGCTTCATTCAAAAGGTTGTGGGCTAGGATGTTGCTTTGTGAATAACTCAAAAAGCATTACGCTCCCGAGGACATCGCGGAAGCACACAATATCGTAATTGAACTGTCCGATGCAAGGCGACCAAGACTCACAACTCGTGACACGAAAAGAATGATCAATGTAACAGTGCATACCATGCTTAACGATCTGGTAGACAATAGAATATCATCTTCGCATCAACAACAACAGAGGCGCCAAGCGACAAGATCCCACCCGTCAAAAAGCAAGGAATCTCGACGCCTTTCACAAAAATTTTCACCAAAACGAAAAGTGAGGGAACCCAAACACACACAGTGCCAGCCGACCCTACGTCCGGTGACTCGCTTAATGTGCTTCAAAACAAAGTCGATGTGTTAATAAGGAAATGTTTATGAAGCAACAAGCAGCCCTCAACAGTCTCTTTGAGAATGAGGAAGGTTTGCCTTGGCGTTCACCAGCACGGAGTCCGGTAGGTCTGACAGCATCAATTCTTTGTCCGACGCGTCTAGTCTCTTCCCCCCCCCCCCTCCCTACCAGATTCCTCCTGACAACGTAGCCTCCCCAGCACATCTTGCTACCAACCCTTTCCCTTCTGCTCTACCCCCCACCCCCTTAACTCACCCACCGAACCAAACTCACACACACCCATCGACACCCTCCACCTCCCCACACCGAACCTCATATGATCCAGTTCAGTTCAGTTCAGTTAGATTTGCGAAGTCATGCTTCGCCCGGGCCTTTTCTCTGGAGTGGCCCGGCCTCATATGATCCCCAGCCCAGAACCTCTTAAGAACCCTAGCCCTGAACCCCTCGTGAACCCCAGCCCCACGTCACCCTCCCCGGGTAAAGCAACTACTAACCCAGTGCTACCCGAACCTGACGTCATCACCGGCCAGTGTTGTGCGGCACTGCAGGCGCGCGACCCTGCTGACGCAAGCGAGCCGCGCATTCCTCCTCGGCCGGACGTCAAAATCCCCCACAAGACCCCCACATTCATCAGCAACAGAGAAGATAAGCAGCAAAGAAACACAGGTGACGCCCACGCGCAACAACACTAGAAATAGCAAGAGGAGAAACAAGCGGAATAACAGAAGGGAAAACGACAAGCAAGAAAACACAGTTCCCCCTCCACCAACCGCACCGAACCGCGAGTGGAGTGATGCAAAGTACCACCACGTGACCGGAGTTCCCCAGCCCGACAGTTGTAACACGGCTCCTGTTGTGATAAATAATAACTACAGCCACAACATTGTAAGACACGAAACGTCTAATCCAAGCAATGTGGATGCAGATGGGTTTACACTCGTGGAAAAAAGAAAAAAGAAGACAAAATAGAACAAAGATCTAAGGCTAAACCTTTACAGGAGGCAGCTAAACCAGAGGTGTTGTACCTTTACATAACAAACTGCCACACAGACACTGAGGAAGCAGATATCGAGAATCACCTACTCGTTAACTTCCCCGAGGTGGACGATGTAAAGGCATTCAAAACATAAATGAGTCATTCATATTATGCCAGCTTCACTGTTTCTCTTAAAGGCAAAGCACTTGTAGCTGATGAATTTCTGAAGTCAGATTCCTTCCCCAGCCCCGTGAGAGTCTTTTTAAATAGAAACAAGTACAAAACCTCGCAAACCGAGCGGGATGTTTGACCAAAATGACTCATCAGCAATAGCGCCAGCTAACGCAAGATCCTGCAGAACACTTCCCAGCATTTACCTTGCAAATGCATGCTGCCTTACAAACAAAGTGGACGAACTTGACGTCATAATGAAACAAAATACTATCGATATTGCAGTAATCACAGAAACGTGGTTCAAAGACGATAAATTAAACATCGGAACCATACAGGGGTACCACTTATTTAACAAAATTCGTCAGGGCAGAAAAGGTGGAGGCGTTGGTATTTACATCAAAGATACTATCCCCTGCAACACCATAAAATCCATCTGTCCACCAAGTGACGACCTTGAAACATTATGGCTCGCTGTTAGACCTACATGGCTGCCTCG